AAACTAATAGGTACCAACTCATGTGTAATGATACAGGTAAGTGCCGAGGGATTTAATATTACAGAGAGTGGACACCTCAACAGACCAGACAGTCAGGGAAGGATTCCTAGAGGAGATTTTGCTCAGCGGAATCTTGAAGGACAAGCATGGGTTTGCTGACTGAAGGAGGGTAGGGAGTCTCCTAGGCACGTGTAAAGGCCGGGGGAATGGAGTGTGAAGAGACTATAGCTGCACTGCCCAATATGGTGGCCACTAGCTACTCATGGCTACTGACCTCTTGAAATGGGGCTAGTCTGAATTGAGATGTGCCATAAGTATAAAATACACACTTGGTTTCAAAGGCTTAGTGTGAAAAAAACATAAAATATTAATATTTTTATATTAATTACATGTTGAATTATGTTTTTGATATACTGGGTTAAATAAAGTATATTGTTAAAATTAATTTCACTCGTTTCTTTTACTTTTAAAAAATGTGGCTACTAAAATCATTAAAATTATGTATGTGGCTTCATTCTATTTCTATTGGTCAGCGCTGGACTGGAGGTAAGCAGGAGGCTGGTGTGTACTCAGCTAAGGAGGCTGGACTCCCTCCTGAGGACGGTGAGTCCCCAGGATGTGGGGGAGGGAGATGATGTGCTTTGCTCAGAAAATCACTCTGGCTGAGGGGTGGAGAATGAACCAGAAAAGGAACAGATCAGGAGTCAGGAGGCTGTTGCAAGACTGTAGGCAGGAGAACGGAGAGATGAGGCCAAATTTGAGGACTTTCAGGAGCTAGGTCTCACGGCTAATTGGATGTGGGCTGTGAGGGAGGGACTGGGATAGACTCTTGGGTTTGCAGCCTACACAAATGAGTGGATCAGAGTGCAAGACTGTACTCAGCGAACGACTAAAGTGAAGAGTCCCCTACTAGAGTGTGAGTCGGGGGAAGGCAGGACTCAGACCAGGGATTCAGTAAATATTTTAATGAATATTAAAAAAAACCCCACAGACTAAAATGTGTGGTTCAGGAAATGTCTCGTGGATGGGCTAGAAGGGGAGAGGTCAATGATTAACTGCCACTTCGGTGGGAAATAGAAATCGGAGGTCAGGAGGAGAAGCCCCCTGAGGGGCTGCCATGTTTGCCACCCTAGGTTCCTATGGATGGCTGCAAGGGATCCCATTGCTCAGCAAGGTGCATCACAGATGCTGGGGGCTTGGCTGGTGTGAGGACATCTTCTTCGGTTTCCTCAGCCCCTTTGCTAATTTTCATGAGGAGAAGGAGAAGGTGGGGTGATGAGGCTGAAGAAAGAGGAGGGAGGATGGTGTGGTATGAGAGGTGGATGTGGGAATGTGTTTGTAGTAGGGCATATTCTGAAAGCACCTGCTTGCTGGTACTACCACCCATAAATGACCCATAAGCCATACCCGAGTGTAGACAAATACTCATGTCCATTTACTTGAAATATCAATAATTTGAAACAGCGCCACTAGGAAATATGGATTTGACCTCATTTCCTTATTTGTTCTTGGGAAAAGAAATGTGATTTAGTAAAAAACAACAAAAACAAAACTCTGAAAGGAGATTAGGAGATGAGGGTTCTGTCACCATCTTTGTGAGTACGTGCAAGTCACAGAATCTTTCTACATCTCAGTTTTCTCATCTTTCAAAGTAGCAATAATAATACTAGCCTTGTCCATTTCACAGAGTTAGTAGTATTGAATGAGCAAATGCATGTGAAGGGCTTCAGAAAGTTAGAAATGCACGCTGAAGTTAGAAGATGCTGATACGTGCAATGAACAGTGAACACATAGAGAAGTATTTTGGCTTGAATAAATCTGAAGGACAGAGAAATCATTAGGTGTGTGCACCAAGGAGCAAAAGAGGGTCTCTCCTGCCTTTGGTAGATGGAACCAGCCTTCTCAAAGGGTATCCTGGCCCCTCATAGTTCTTTGCCTCCAAGAAGAAAGCACTGGGTGAGGGTTGGACGTGATAAAGAATGAGATGGCTAGGCCAGTGAGGGTTGGTGCTGCAGCCTCTTGTATCCCACTAAATTTACACAGGTGTCATGAAAGAGGCAGTGGGTTTGTTCAGAAAATCCACAGTGCTCCCTTTGTATTCAGATTGGTTATTTCTGCTCTGTTTCATTCATTAGGACATTTGTTCACTCATTCATTCAATAATGTGTGTCCAAGCATTCAGACCTCCTTCATCTTTCAAAGCTTACCCAAACTCTACCTCCTTCAGGAAGACTTCCTTGTCCAACCCAGCACCGCACCTTTATCTACGCCTATCACTTCTTGAACCACGTTCTGCTTTGTCATGTGTTTGTGTTATCATTGGTCTCATTTCCTTTCGGGACATAGAATCCGTGTCCTAAACATCTTTGTGTCTCTACAGTACTAGCACAGTGCCATTTCACAGAGGTGCTTGGGAAATAAGAACTGAATGAATGAACAAATTGAGTGGATGGAGGGGTGGGTAGCCCTGGATCAGGCAGCATTTTCTATAGAGAAGGGTGTGTAGCAAGTCCTGTTCTATGGCCATGGAAGGTAGCAATGGGAAGGTAAAGACAATGACTAGGGACAGCCATTAGGGACCCTACTGCCTGAAGATAGCACCAGAGGCCACTTGGGAGTATCTACTCATTCAGCTCACCTTCACTGAGCACCTACTGTGTACAAGACACTATGCCACAGGTTAGGGGAACAGAGATGAGTGTATCATAAGTTCAAAAAACGTGGAGCCTCACTGAGTAAACTCATATATGCGAAAAGTTAAACGATGATTTTTTAAAAAGCTCAAGTGGTATTATAAGGCAGTAAATGCAAAGTGGCCAGTTTGTGGTCCAGCCAGTAAGCACTGTGTGCTTAGTGAATCTTTTTCTTGGGTTTTCTAGGGCTGTCCCATTTCCCAGCTAGCTGTCCTACGGCTTCCCCGGGACACTAGCACTTCTTTGATTACAGAGCCAGATTTTGGTATCACAAAATGTGCTCACTGTTGTTACGCAGCTTTCGAGTAGATTAGTATTGTAGTGAGCTGGAGTGGGGGTTGGGGTAAAAGGGGCCACTTGGGAAAGATTTATATAAGAATAACCCTGAATTTTCTGAAAAATTGGTAGACATAGAGGAATGGAGAAAGCAGTTTAGGCAGAGGGAAAAGGCATGAACAAGAGATCAGGAGTTGGAATACATTAGTTATGTTTAGAGGACAGTTCATTCATTCATTTAACAAATGCTTATTGAAAGGTTGCTAAATGTCAGCAGTATTTTCATGCTGGTCACAAAGTGGTGAATGAAATAGGCAGTCTGCCTTCAGGATGCTAGTGGGGCAATTTATTTGTGTTAGCAAAAAAATGTTATCATACAAATTTTAACAGACAAAAAATGTTAACATACAAATAACGTACAAGTAAATTGGGGAAAGTGCTATGAAGGAAAAGAATGGGAGTCTATAAAAGAGAATTAGACAGGCACCTTAGTTTCCCAGAGGAAGGTGACATGTAAGTGGAGACCTGAAACTGTGTGCAGGCTGAAGCCAGACTGTGGAAGGCCAGGCTGGAGGTTTGGATATGTTAAAACATTTTCTGAGACCAGGTTATGTCTGGGTGTGTTTCTGTGTTCCAACCAGAGGGCTCCCTGGAGAGACAGGGACGTAGGGAGAAAAAGCAGGTTCTCCTCAAACATCTCGTGACTCCTGTCCCTGTTTGCAGCTGGGCCATGGGGCAGTTGCCGTGGATGAGCGACAGGAAAACAGGAAGCTCAAGGTGGGTGCCATGTGGAGTCAGCCCAGAGGGGAAACCACACGGTCTCAGAGGACAGCCACAGACCTGGGGCACTGTGGCCCTGATGCTGGGGTCCTGGGAGTGCTGGCTTCCCTGACTCTGACCTCCCAGTGGCCGTGGAGGAGGTGCTAGTCTGCGAGCTAAGTGCAGAATGTCACTGCTCACTCTGCCACTAGCTTCTGCCTCAGATTCTGCCGATTCTGTAAAATGGCTGGACTAGATGAACTCAAGTCCCAACATCCTATAATTGATCTAAAAGGCTAATTACCGGTGGTTTTGGAATGCCCCAAACTAAGAGAAACTTAGAAGGAACTCTAGGAGCAGGGGAGTCTGAGATTTCCGAAAAACTGTGTCTTAACTGCCTTTGGCCTCTGGGATATTTAGGAAGAATTATGGGGACCGTAAAGAGGCTGGGGCCTGAAGGAAACTTTCCCCATCCAAAGAAAATCCCTGTTGTGAAGTTCTGTTACCACAGCCACTAGATGGCAGAAGAGTTCAGATCCAGAGGGACCGGGCGGGAGAGGAAGGGAGGGGCTGAGCAGGCATTGTCTGTGGATGTTCCTTTGTAGATCAGATGATGTTTCTAAGTGTGTCACAGTGAATAAATTTGTGTCAAATCTGTGTGTCTGCACACAGGGGTGTGTAGGTATGTGCCTGTGAAGGTCTCTCGAGCATGTGGGTAGAAAAAAAAGAACTGGATTAGGAATCAGAAGACCTGGGTGCTAGTCTTAACTCTCATTTACTCCCCATATGACCTCGGATAGGCCCCGTAGCCTCACTGAGTTTTCATTTCCTTTTCTGTAGAAGGGGTGACAGCCTTGCTTATCTCTGGGGGCAGGGCAATGATAAAGCACGATGATGTTTTGTGGACTGTAAAGGGCTGTACCCCTGCGCAGTGGGTCTTGCTGTGTGGTCTGTGGGTGAGTGTGTGCTTCTGTGAGGTTGTACTTGCAGGGATGGACAGACCCTTGGTAATGTGATACCCTTCTTACACATTGTCTGCTCCCTGTTGAGACCTTGGGATTATTCAGTATGTAGAATTAGCCAGTCATGGAAGAGTTGGGGGAGAGGGGGCTGCGAAAGAAACTAGTATAACTCTCCTGGGGAGGCCAGGGTAAGCCTCCTGTGCATTCACCCTGACCTCTGTGGGAGGGAGGCAGGGTTAATGAAGCCCTCGTGTGGCTCCTCCCCTGGCTCGGGCAGGGGCCCACTGAGGCCTGGCTCTCCCCTGCTCAGCTCCCGTCTGTGCTGACCCGAGGGAGCAGCTCGGCCTCTCTGCACAACAGCACCATCCGCAGCACCATCTTCCGGCTCATCGTCCACAGCCTGGACCCCCTGGGGGAAGGTAAGCAAGGCCTCCCCAGACTGCACGGTTTCCCTGTCCACTCCTTCCCTCCTGCGGCTGGACAAGAACTGGGACCTGCAAAACTGAGAGTAGTGGGTGGGGTGGGGGCGGGAGTAGGAACAGAGAGTTGGCAGAGGAGAGTGGGTGGTAAAGGCAGGTGGCCCGGGGGACAGAGTGGAGACAAAGACACAGGACTCACAGGAGAGGGCCCCAAGGAGCTAAGGTCCTTAGTGTTCACATCCCACCACCTCCCTGCCCCCGTGTCCCCGCCTGTAAAATGAAGGACTTCACCTGTAGTTAGTGAGGCCATGAGTGCCATGTGCCCTGCGCTGGTCCCTGTTGGGGCTGCCCTCAGTGACTTCCCTGCAAAGCCCACCACCCACAAGTCAGCCCCAGTGTCCCACAGAGTCTCCAGCCAGGCAGCCTGGCTCAGGCTGACTGGCCAGGGCCACTTCTGGAGGCACCTCCTGTAGGGTCCCACAGCCCAGAACCTGTGAGCGGCACCTCTCTTTATTCTGTATTTGGCTCTGGAGGCTTAGGAAAGCTGCTAACCACCCCCCCCCCCCGCCCCCGCCGCCAAGCCAGGAATCCCAAAGTATAAGTGATGCGGGCAGCTGAGATTCTCACCATCTACCTTACCAAGTCCTGCCTTCTGACCCCCTTTCCCAGAGAGCTGCCCCTAACATGCTTCTCAGGACCCTAAATGGCACCCCTCGGGTGGGCTCATGCTCTCCTTGGGCTCCTCCATCTCTGGGACTCTGGTGCAGAACTGGGAGCTCAGGCAGGAGGCCCATCAAGGGAAGGTTGGCCTTTGGGCAGAAGCCGAGTCAGAGTGCGACTGGGTAGGAGGGCTGAGGACTGAGCTGAATATCCAGAGACTGACTCATGAGCCCCAGGGAGCATCCTGACTGACGTTTCTGGTTCAGGGACAAATTTGGGGAAGCTCAGAATTTCCTCAGGCCCTGAAGTGTCTTCTTCAGACACAATATAGGGTTGTTGAGTGTTTAAAACAAGTAGATGGTACTGTGAAAAGCAGAGTCAAGAACGAGGTGATCAAACCTTCTTAGAAAATCCTCAAGGTGAGCCTCAGCAGACACTGAGAGAGGCCACCCCTAAATATCAGCTCTGGAAAAACAGTCCCCTAGGGTTTCGAGGGGGGAGTCCACAGCACCTGGCAGCCTGTGGGTGATCAGTGCTGGCGCATGCCCGGCCTGGGCACAGCGAAGGAAGCTGTATCTCTGGATTATGCCTGGCCTCTCCTCGTGGAATCACTGACTCCAGCAAAGTCCTAAAGATAAAGACCTTCTCCTGAATGGGACTGCAGAGGCCCCCACCTGGGCCGCTTCCACGGCCAACAGCCGCCAGCTGGCCTACTTGTCCTAACAGGATTATGTATGGCCAGGTCAGGCCGAGGTCAGAGGAGATTGATACTAAGGAGATGATCTGGCTGCGCTGAGAGGTCATGTGAGGAAACCAGCACTGGCGGAGCCAGTGACAGTCATTCCAGGGAAGACGAGCATGCTTGGTACATTGTATGCGTGTGTGGCAAGCATGGAACGGCCTTCACGGAGAATGATTGCCAATATTCTGGGACGCAGTCCTGATCAGAGAAGCCGACCCTGATTCTACACCCGAGATTCCATCCGGGAGGGGCTGGGATCATGCAGGAGCTGTCCTTTCAGGTTTCCTTTCAGGTGTCCCAGCTCTTTCCACAGAGCTGATCTGTGGTCTGAACTTTCACTTGCCCTGTGAAGGGGCTTTACCTCTCCAGGATCCCATGCCTCTTCTGGTGATTTCACTTGGATGTGTGTGTGTGTGTGTGTGTATGAGAGAGAAAGAGACAGAGACACACAGAGAGAAAGAAAGAGAGAGAAAAACAAAGGGAGACCCTGCCACTGACCTGCTTTCCTCAGAGGTTTGGGAAGTGAGAGGTCAGGGTTTGTGATGAGCGACGAGAAGGAAAGAGGGGAACTTGGTTTTCTTGCCAGCCCCTCCAGGCCACAGTCAGCAGATATTCTCAGCACCAGGACTGGAACCAGGGGAGCCCTCCTTTGATAACAGCTACATGTTGCTCAACAGAAGACTGCAGTGCTTGATCAGTGCCAAGGGGGTGCTGGAGTTGTCTGGATGAAGGAGGCGGTGGAGTGTCTGCCCCTGACGTCTCAGTTCTAACGAAGATCTCCTGGGCAGGCCCGCCAGGACACTTCGTGGGCCCACACATGCCAGAGAGGCAGCTCTGCAGGATGGAGCCTGTCAGAAATGGCTGCAGCTGAACCAACTCTGAGAGTTTAGGAGCCAGGTTGAGAGGAGGAAGTTCTAGACCCATTTATGTTTCCTGCCCATCTTGGACCCAGGCAGAGTCTGATCCACCCAGCTTCCCAGATCTCACCTTCTCACTCTGTCTATATTACGGACCAGAGGATCTTCAGGTTCCCTTCTAACTCAGACCCTCTGGAATGCTGGGCCTTGTCACTGAAGAGTTGTTTCCTGGGTGTGACGGCTGTTCTCAACTACTGTTATTGATTCATCATTGTTGTCATAGCTAAAACTTATATAGTGCTTTCTAGGTGCCAGGCACTGTTTTAAGCACCTTCACATATAAATTCATTTATTTCTTCAACAACTCTGTAAGATTTTACAGATGAAGAATCTAAGGTACAGAGACATTAAGGAATCACCCAGTGAAGTCCAGGGCTAGCAAGTGGCAGAACTAGGATTCAAACCCAGGCTGTCTGGCTCCAGAATCTGAGCTAACATAACAATATTTAATTGCAGCAATTAAAATACTATTATTTATTTTGTCTCATAGACCATCACATCAGTGCTCTGAGTATATCATGGTGTTGCCTTTCTAGAGAGGGGACACTGAAGCTTGGAGTGGGTACACAGTCTTCCCAAGGTCACCCAATGCTCACAGTGCAGAGCCAGCCTGGAATCCAGAATAGACCCCATGGTACCACTTTGTTCTATTACTTGTGCCGTTGTCCTCTCTCTCCTGGACTGCACAGCTGTGAGGTAGACTCTCATGAGCTCTTGCACCTCCCACCTAGAAATTCCACATGTAAAGCACTTTGCATGTTGCCTGGAACATAGTCACATTGAAAGAGAGTTGTCCTCCCCATTTTTCTTGCCTGGAAATCAGGGCAGCACCATCCTGTGCACAGTGCTCAGTGGGCCTCCAGCAAAGCATGTGCACAGGGATCTGGAAGGAGGCGTCACTTGGGCTCCAGGTGTCTGGGGTCAAACAGGGTGTGGCAGGGAGCTTGGTGGTCAGCTATTTCCCTTTCCCACTGGAGAGGGAAGGCTCATAAACATGGCCACCAGTAGTGCCCCTGGAGCTGTAGTAAAGCTTCTAGTGTTCTAGAGCCACAGAAAGTAAACTGCAAAGGACCTTACAGATAATCTAGTCCAAGGATGGCAAAAATGTTTCCCTGCCATTATTTCTCCATTCTCTGCCCATTGCAGACATCACTGATCAATCATGGTCCTCTCCTATCAAGTTTGGGTCAGAATTCCCCTCAATTCAGCACTCAAGCAGCCATCACTTGAGCTCATAAAGGAAATAAATCCTTTTTGTTGCCCCTGAGTCCAACCACATCAATTTACCAGAAAAGAAATAGGCATAGAGAGGAAAGTGATTTGCCCAAGGGTGCAGCCAGTTAGTGACAGTACAGGGAATTTAAGACAAAAGTTTGGAAATTGGGCACCATGAACAAGCCTAGAAGGACCAGAATCCAGACAAGACATCACGACTCCCAGGCCAGCCTCTTCCTAACCACTTCAGCAGCTCTGGCTGCCAGCTGACCAGCCTAACTGAAGGGTATGGCAGGGACACTGTGGTCCCAGATAAGATGTGTTTCCTTTCTCATTCACAGACCGCCCCTCCAAGGACAAGGAGGAGGAGAGCTTGAATCAGGAGGCCAAAGCCAAGCCTCAGGTCAAAGCAGAGAGCAAAGCAGAAGGTGAGAGAATGGTGAGACCAGTGGGGTTTCTCCTGCCACCTTCCTCCCTCCTGTTGGCCAGCCTCTTGACTGAGCCCTGCCTCTTGGCTTCTCTGAGCCAGTCAGCGGAGTGATGATCTGGTGCTGCCTGGCACTCTGCTGTGCTCCGCCTTCTCCTCCCTGACACGGCTGTGGCCTGAGGGCAGCCCTGAGCAACTCCTTTGCACTCTCCTCAGAGTGGGTAGGCAAGGCCAGGTCGGGGGTTGTTGAATTCCCACTTCTTTTTTTCTAAATCTTGTCCCAAATAAGACTCTCTTGGACTCAATTTCTTCTTCCTGTCACTGCTACAAAAGGACAGTGCTGCTAGGGATTGGTCTGAGACCAGCAACCCCAGTGAGGGAAGGCCACCAGGGATCCAGTGACACAGAAGTCCAGCATCTGTGTGGCAGCTGGGACAGGGGTAGTAAGACAGCTACTGCAGTGGGCTCTGTATAGCACACCAGGCCTGCCTGATGCACCTAGCAGCCCTTGGAGGGAGGGAGAGCAGCAGTCATTGTTCCCGTTCTATAGATAAGGAAACTGAGACTCAGAGGTCAAGTGACTTGCCCAAAGCCACGCAGCCAAGAAGTGAGAGAGCCTGTACCTAAATCCAGCTCTCCAGACTCTCCAAGTTTCCATTCCCCTTCAATCCTCTTCCAAGGCTTTCTAGCTGCTGCCTTTGAAATCATCAGTTGGTTGGGGAGGCGTCAGATCCTGAGGGCTGGGGCTTTGCCCTCTCCCTGCTCCAGCTGTCCAAGCTGTTCACAGCATCATTGGCCACACTGGCGAGGATAGAAATGTCTCCAAATATAGAGGGAACAAGGGTGGCTACTTCCCAACTGTCCTCTCCTCTGTAGATATCTCTGTGGACAGGGCAATAGCAATTCACATTATTTTACTTTTCCTATCTACAAGAAATTCCCCAAACCAACCTTCTGAGACCCTGAAGTGGACAAGTCCAATAGCTCTGTAGCCACTCACACCAGTCTGCCCTCAGAACCTGGCACACTCTTCTGACCTCTCTCTCTTGTTTATCCTTTAAAGAGGAGGAGTCAGCCCAACTACCTTTGGTCACGGTCACACCAGCCCCTGCTCCAGACGTCCAGGGAGCTCAGGAGGAGGATCCTGGTGGTCAGGTAGGCATAAGCCTCTTCCCTGGTGGAGGAACTTGAGAGGCCCAGGGAAGGACTTGCTGACCAAAAGTCCTTCCTTCTTGAAGGTCTGAAATGCTATTTGAAGTTCATTCTCCTGGGATAAGCATTGTCCTTTCTCTGAAGATCAAATACCCCATGGGGCCAGTTAATTCACCTAACACCTTAGTGTGAGGGAGATAATATATACGAGAATGGGTTGCCAACTGTCTCAAGCTCTAAGAACAGAAGGAATAACTGTTAGGGGGTCTGTTAGCAACTAGAGGACAGTGAGACCAGGTAGCTCGAAATGCAAGGGTTAGGGGGTGAGGGAGTAGGTGAGTAAAGGCCTGGGAACCTTTTGAGGCACCTCAGCCTCATGGATTCCTGACACTGCTGCCTTTACAGCCTCACAGCCTCTTCTTCCATCCTGCTCCTGCCAACTGGACTTCTTGTCTCCCTCTTTTTCTACCCCCAGGCCTTGGCCCACATGGTTTCCTCCCCCAGAATGCCTTTTCCCCTCCATTGTCATATATCCTAATCGCACCCGCCCCTCCAGGCCAGTGTAAATGCCGCCTTTGCTGTGACGCTTCCCTGATCCCCCCAATCTGAATACCCATGGTACTCTGTCCCCCTCTCAGGGCTCTTTTCACTGCCTTCCTTGTACTCCATGTATGAGTCTCTCTAGTTCTCCTGCTGGGTGGTGGGGTTGCTGAAGACAGGATCCAAGTCGGAGTCATTTTTGTCTCTCCCACAGAGAGAAACGCAATGCCTGACACACAGCTGTGCTCAATAAGGGTTGAGTGACAGTAAATAGGCAGTCAGTTTGCAAGTTCCCTCCCTGTTTGTTTTTTCTATTCAACAGCCAGAAGCACTCAATTATATCTCATCCTTAAGCCAGCAACTTTGGGTGCAATGTCTAGAACATCTTCATGGTAACATGAGGGTACTGAGTAGGCCCATTACTGCCAGCTTAAGTAAAGGGATTTGAGGATATGGAGGTACCTCCTGCAGTCCCAGGGCAGGATGTGAAGCTTGGTCTCACAAGGAGCTGGACCTAGGCCTGGGAGGGCCTCTGTGACCCTGGTGGCTTCTCACTCCACGTCCTGCTCTCTCTCACATCCCCTTCTCTGTGTGCAGGCTCCATCACACAACCTCTCCCGGAAGCCTGGCTCCATTTGCTTCCTTACTGGCACACACAGCCCTAACCACTATCCCAGTCCTCTAGGCCGGAGGGGGATCAACCAGTGACTGGCTCCCACTGTCAGAAGAGAGAGAATTCGTTTAAACCAGGTCACGGGTCAGAGATCCAGCCTGTGTCCAATCAGCTGTGGTGAAGAGAGGTGGGGCGCTGTGACTTAAGCACAGAAGAAGGGAGCCACCCGTTCAGGGGCTGCTAAGGATTACAGTTCTCAGAGAAGAGGGTGCAGGCTGGGCAGACACTCCCATGCCTCTCTATTTCAATGACTTATCTCCTCCAGGAAGCCTTCTCTCCTGATGGGGGTTGGGGAATGAGGGCAGGAATTATGGTGACTAAAATTTTCTGGCTCTTCATTCTCAAAGCACAGGCCTCACAGATATTAATATTTGACTGCTTCATCAGGGGTTCTCAACACTGGTTGCATATTAGGATAATTTGGGGAAGCTTTAAAAAATGCCCAGGCCCCACTCTCAACCAGTTAAGTCAGACTATCTGGGGTGGATCCTTGAGCATGAATGTTCTTACAGCTTCCAGGTGACTTTAATATGCAGCAGAGTTGAGACACTGAGCATCCCTTGGGGAGTGGCTGTCATGAAATTTGTGACAGATGACTTACTCCATGAGCACACAGCCCAGGTCCTTTGCTCAAAGGATTGGACCAGCACATTGTTATGTGTTAGTTGGCAGCCTAACCTGAGGACTCTCAGAACCAGTGACTTTTAGAGTGCATGGTGTCAGTTCAAGGTTCCCAAACACTGGTCTGCAGATGGGTCTATTAGGAGTAGTTGTGAGAATGTGAAAGTAGATTCCTGGCTTCCAGTCCTAGAGATTCTAATTCAGTTGGTCCAGTAGGGTGAGGAAATCTGCATTTCTAATAAGCTCCCCGGGCTACCAGCTTTGGGAACCAAATATCTCATTTGGCCCCGGCATTTGCAAAGTAGAGGAGCTTGGTGGTTAAGAGGCCGAGAGTTGGACTATCCATATTCAAATCCCAGCTTCATCACTTACAAACTGTGTGGACCGTGGGCAAGTTATTTAACTACTCTATACCCATTTCTCCATCAGTCAGATGGGTTTGATGCTATCTATATCATAAATTAACTCATGAAACATACTAAGTGCTAGCTGCAATTATTATTATTAAACAACTTAGCATGGTGCCTGGCACATAAAAACTCCTAATAAATAGGTATTATCATCATCATTATTTTATACGTGTAAGGTAATATAACATTTGAGGAGTTTTAGTGGACACAGCAAAGCGATGTAACCACCAAAAGATATCATGCCATATTAGGCAAAATTAATGAAAGCATATTATCTAAAACACAGGAGGTGATGATTCTATTCAACTCTACGCAGTGTCCTGTGTTCAGTTTTCGAAGCCTCCTCATGGGATATAAGCTAACTAGGATGAGTTCACGAAGCTAGGGAGGAGGCCCTAGGCCATGGCATGCAGGAATGATAGAAGGACCTGGGGATCTTTAACCCAGGGAAGAGAGCTGTCTATGGGAGAGTGATTAGCCTTGTTCTGTGTGGCTCCAAAGAGTAAACCTATACACGGGGGTAGAACCTTGGTGTAAAGAGGGACTTCAAAGTAATCAGAGTTGTCAAAGATGAAAGAAGCCGCTTTAGGTGCCGAGTCTCCATCTCTGGAAGTGATCACATAAAGACCAGACAACCACTGGCTAGGAATGTTGTGAAGGTAATTTTGCTGAATGATTGCACTACTTTTCTCCTCATACTCAAGTTTTTAGATACATTCTGAGAACAACCAAAACTAAAAATAATGAGAAACTGGGAAGGAAACCAAGCAGAGCAGTGATTACACATTAATCTCTTGGCTTTGGACTGCAGGAAGGTGATGTGGCTGGAGCTGAAAGCACAGGGGAAACGATGGGCGGAGAGGTTGAAGCTCCTTGTGAAGGTGAAAAGGGAGAGGGAGGTGGAGGTGAAACTCAACTAGAAGGTGAAGGTGAAACCGAAGCAGGAGGAAAAGAAGATGAACATGGAGGTGAAACCGAAGCAGGAGGAAAAGAAGATGAACATGGAGGTGAAACCGAAGCAGGAGGAAAAGGAGACAATGAAAGTGAAGCTGAAATCCAAGCAGGAGGAAAAGGAGACAATGAAAGTGAAGCTGAAATCCAAGCAGGAGGAAAAGGAGACAATGAAAGTGAAGCTGTAATCCAAGCAGGAGGAAAAGGAGACAATGAAAGTGAAGCTGAAATCCAAGCAGGAGAAGATGGGGAAATGAAAGGTGATGAAGGTGAAGCTGAAGAGCAGGAATTCCATGCTGAAAATCAAGGTGAAGCCAAAAGTGATGAGAAAGGTATAGATGATGAAGGGGGAGGTGATGGTGAAGATGAGGAAGAGGAAGAAGAGGAGGAGGAGGAAGAAGAGGAGGAGGAGGAAGAAGAGGAAGAGGAGGAGGAGGAGGAAAATGAGGAGCCTTTGTCCCTGGAGTGGCCTGAGACCAGGCAGAAGCAGGCCATGTACCTCTTCCTCCTGCCCATTGTGCTCCCGCTCTGGCTGACGGTACCTGACGTCCGGAGGCTGGTGAGTTTGCCCAGCCGTAGCCCAGCTGTCCATCCTCAGAGAGGCTGTGAGGTCTCTAGGCATTCCCACACAAGAGGAGGGAGAGGACAGGGTAAACCAGCTTGGCAGGGCTCAACCACAGAGAGGATCTGGGATGGAATTTGCAGCTCTGGAGGGGACCATGCCCCTAGGGGGACATACTGATGGAGTTCGGAGGCCCTAGAATGTGCTTATTTCCACCACTGTAAGCAATGTAAACTAGTCCCTCCTTGACTCATCTGCTCCTTGATTTTAATATGAGAATGATGCCTTTACACCCCCTCCATATTTCACAGGGATATTGTGAAAACTAGGGTTATAAGTGCTCTTTCTCCCCAGCATTCCTATTTCTGGGGAAAGGTCTTACTCACATACCCCAGTCAAAGGCAGACCATATTCTGTCTCAGAGTCGGGAGAAGGAAGGGGCGGGGAGAAGTTGCAGAAGCCAAACCAAATCCCTAAAATGGTCTGGTTCCAGGGCAAGCAAATAGCTCTCTTCAGTTTGGTGACCGCTGAACACCCTACGGGCCAGACTCCCCTATGGGCCACAAACCTCCTCCTTTCCCAGCCATCTCAAGGTCCTCACTGGAGACAGAGATCTCAGCGCAAACATCTCCAGATCCTCTCCAGCACTCCTCCAGATCTCGTCACTGATTCTGGGGCTCACTTGGAAGGACCTCTGCAACTTACTTCTCTTCCTTTTCAAACTTTCACACAGGAGTCTAGGAAGTTTTTTGTCATCACCTTCCTGGGATCCATCACGTGGATAGCCATGTTCTCATACCTCATGGTGTGGTGGGCTCACCAGGTGAGTGAACAGCAGGAACTAAATCCTGCATCAGAAGAGCTCAAGGACACTTTTTTCCTTCAAGGTGAATTTCTAGTACCCAGGGAATGGTGAGGATTAAGTGAATTTGTACAGTTTCTACATTATAAAGGTTTAAAAGTAGACTTTTAATTCTAGTGAACGTAGTGCTTTTCAAGTGTGGCTCTTCTGTCTTACATTCACATTGTAGCATGACATAGAAGGCCCCTCACAGTCTGCTTTCAGCTGACCATTTCTTAATAGCCTCATTCTCTGTTTTCTCTGTCACACATCCTCACTCCTCTCCACCTGGTGAACTCGTGTACACTTGTGAGAGCCAGCCCAGTTTTGCCTCCTCTCTGGCATTTTATCAGTCGTCCTCTGAGTACCCATGGCTTTTCTGTTCCAGCTGGAATACTGCCCTTAGCACAAAGCTGTAATTGTTGTTTACAAGCTTTTCTCTTTCACCAGGGGGAGAAGAGGGTCTGTGTTGTACTGCTCATACTTCTATCTCCAACCTTTAACTTAGTTTCTGGCACAAAGCAGGGGTCCATGGTTCTGGAAATGGAAACGGGTGACATGAACAGATCTTTGGAGGGGCAGTTCTTTGGGGAGGGTAGTGGTGTATTTGGAAGGACAGTGGGAGGTGATATCATAGATGAACTTTTAGTCCAATTTAGAAAAGAGCAGCATCACTCCCTGAAGCCTTGAGCAGGGGGCCCGTTCTTTCTCTCTATGGCCCATCTCTCCAGCTGTCAGTCCCACCATAGCCCTACCTCACTCAGGCAAGGGAGTGCGCCAGGCTCTGTGGCCGGTGCTGGGTTTGCACAAAGTAGAATGTGGCTGGTGCTTTGAAGAGCCTCAGACTTTTTACCTGCTGTTGCTATGGTTTCTCATTCCTGTTATTGTTTACCAGGTTGGTGAAACAATAGGGATTTCTGAAGAGATCATGGGTTTGACAATCCTAGCAGCAGGCACGTCAATTCCTGACCTCATCACCAGTGTGATTGTTGCTCGGAAAGGCCTGGGAGACATGGCTGTGTCAAGCTCTGTGGGCAGTAACATATTTGATATCACCGTGGGGTGAGTGGCAAAGTTGCTTTCTAAGGCATATTAAGTATGACTGGAAAACACTGTGTTGGCTCTGTTCGCTGGTTTTCTGCTTCATTCATTATACATGGAATAAAAGAGCATTTATATTAGTTTCTACAAGGCAACAGAGTATCCTCCCTTCATTCATCACAGCCAGATGGCATAAGAGAACTAAAATACTGCCTGAAATGTAACCGCCTAGAATTTATAGGTGAATTGAAAAATAAAGTCCATTAAATTCTAATAGCAACTACAGTCAAACGCTCTGCTCACTGACCTCCCAGGTGGTGGAGGTGGGGCTGGAAGCAGCAATGATTCAGTCTCACTTCCTGATATTCCTGCTCCTTTGCATCTGGGCTCCTGCCACCCCACAGGCTCTAAAAGCATTTTGTAGAAATAAGCAAATGCCACACCCTCCCGTACCCATTTCCTTACCCCCTCCTCTCAACTTTGTCAGAGCAGAGCACCTGTGCTATTTTCATTTCCTGAAATCACGTCCTGGACTTGGGTGGTGGCTTTGGTTTCTTTAATTTGAATTTGTGTGTGTGTGTGTGTGTTGGGGGAGGGGGCAGGTAAAAGGGCATAGGAGAGCCCTGATTACTAAAGATTTTAAAGAAATATTATCCTGAACTACACCTTATCATAAAAATGTAGATATTAACTTTCCCTGAACTTTAGTTTCCTCATCTGTGAAATGGTGCTAATATTTTCTGTTCTATTTCAAACATTTGTTTGTGGGGAAAATAAGTGCTTTGTAAATGGTAAAATACTAAGTATAGGGGATTATTACAAACATTAAGAATATTCACATTATTTCTTCAATCTTGCAGCCTGCCCGTTCCTTGGTTTCTTTTCTCTCTTATCAATGGATTACAGCCTGTTCCAGTCAGCAGCAATGGCTTGTTTTGTGCAATTGTTTTGCTTTTTCTCATGCTCGTGTTTGTGATCTCTTCAATTGCATCATGCAAATGGAGGATGAACAAGATCCTGGGCTTCACAATGTTCCTCCTCTACTTTGTATTCCTAATAATCAGTGTGATGTTAGAAGATCGAATCATATCCTGCCCTGTATCTGTCTGAGTCAGAGTCACTGTTGCTCAAAATGGACATGGGTCAGAAAACCATGCCAGAAGTTACTGCACCTCTTGTTACATTATGGAAAGAATGAACGTGATCCAGGAGACTGAACTGAGTGGCCAAGAGCCTCTAATGTGAATGGGATGCAGGACTGAAGTTTCTGCCTGGAAATACCTGCAGCTTATTGTGGAATAAGACTCTCACCTCTGGACAGGTGGAGTTCCTACCCCAGATGGATGCAGACAGCTATCACATGGAGGCCACAGAAGGACCCCTGGAGTCACAAGGTTTTCTAAATGAGGGACAACTGGGGAGGAGGGCTGGGACAGGCACCGGAGCAGTAAGACAAGCTCCCGTGCTCACAGTTCCCTGATCATTCCTGAAGGGCCACTGATCCAAAAGATGCAGATGTGATTTACATCTCACCCTCCAGGTCCCTGCCCCAAGAAACCCTGCAATATGCTGTCTTCTCTTTCTTTCCAAAACATGAGGCTCTATCAGGTTTGTAATCATTACAGCTTCAGTTATTGGTGAGTTTAAGGAGCTAAGGCTATAGGAAAAGAAGTATAACAGGAATCAATTGTCATTACACATCATAGTCCACTAAAGTGTGCGCCAATATTTTATAGCTTAAAAGGAGGGCTACATTAGCTTGTTCCATTTCTGAAAAGTGAAATTAAAATAAGTAGCCCAAGAAATTAAAATTTATAATTTGCCCCTGAATTGGAAGGCGTGGATATTAGGGAAGGAAAACTAGTCTAAGGGCTATTTAAAAATATGTACTTATTAGAAAATCCAAGTTAGTGTCTCCATCAAGTGGTCCCCTTGAGGGATGAGACATTCTAACAAAGCTGTCCTCACTCCAGCATATTCTCACCCAACAGTGACAACTGCTACTAGTAAGAAGGAAAGGAATTTTAGAGAGAGTCCAAAGTCAGCAGAGCCAAATCTGGTTTATAAAGCAGGAGATCCAGTGGGGCAATGCTACTTCTGCATGTCAACCTAGACAGGACTATAAAGCAAGAGGACTGACTTCTTGTGTGGTTTGTAAGTGGATGTTAAGGCAATCGCAAAGGAAAAATTCCAAAAATGCTTAACACAATGACAACATGGTGCAAAAAAAGTATTACTACTTCCAAGGTAGCTAGTGTAAAGGACACTTGTGTTTTTAAAAATTGTGGGGTTACTTAAACATTTCAAGTGGAATTTGAAGTGCTTGTATACTAAATACCACTCCTTGCTGCTTTTACTAGCATCAAGTTAAGGAACACAGTAGAAATGAAACAGTTCTATGTCCCTGGTTTCAGAGCTCAGGCGACTGTAGATTATGATGGTGAATGTGGCTTTAATTACAAACACAAGAGAGGATTCACTGACGACTAGAAGACAGCAGGACAGAGGTGATGTGAAAAGAAAATCAGACACTGGTGTTGAAGGGCTGTGTTCAAAGTACTTCAGTCCATAATCTATCTTTTAAGATGGGCGGTTAATTTACTTAATGGCCTCACTACCCTAGGATTCACATTCTTTGGAGATGACTTTTTATTAAATTTTCATAAATTGTGAGTCCCAATGATATTTTATTTTACAAACATGGATGGGTTCATCCATATCTTTAGGTTACTTGTCAGAATGCTCAAGAGAAGACTGAAGAAGAATATGGAAGCGTGTTCAAATTCCCTATTCTTCAATTCGTTATCCTCAATCCTGATGCTGCTGCACTGCCTGGTCTCCATGTGCCATGGCCTAAGAACAGGAGGAAAGACCAATGCCTATGGGAGGGAGATGCCAATCCCCAAACTCTAGGCACCAACCTGGTCTCTGCAGCCAGTGCCAGCTAGCCATAGGGATGTCACCTCCTCACTGATAGCCCAGGATCTGATACTCTTCCCTGAATGACTGACTGAGGAGAGAGGGACAGTGAAATGTTCTGAATGATGAAGTGCTGGACAGCCATTTAATGATTAAAATCAACTCTGGGGCTGGCCCTGTGGCCGAGTGGTTAAGTTCGTGCTCTGCTGCAGGCAGCCCAGTGTTTCGTTGGTTCGAATCCTGGGTGCGGACATGGGACTGCTCATCAAACCACGTCGAGGCAGTGTCCCACATGCCACAACTAGAAGGACCCACAACGAAGAATATACAACTATGTACTGGGGGGCTTTGGGGAGAAAAAGGAAAAAATAAAATCTTTAAAATCAACTCTAATGATCTAACATCCTTTTCCTGATCAGTTTGCTGAATTTCTGGCATTTCTCTTGGCCTAGAAAGGAAGTTCCAATCATTTCACACTATGACAGAAAGGGTCAAGTACATATAATGAAAGCTGAGTCTTGATGGATGAGTAGGAATTCACTGGGTGGGGGAGAAAGAGGAGACTTCACAGAGATGGAATGATCAATTTGTTATGCTTGGAAATTAAAATTTTTGTCATACATTTACAAATCTACTATAATTTATTAAAATTATACTGTCTTAGAGGGGAAAGTACCATGTTAAAATGTCAAGAGATGGTCCTCTCATTTGATAGCCAAAATGATCTGTATAGTTACATGGGACAAATTCTAGGTCATGTGTCCAGCCCAGAAAGTCTGAACTGTCCCCCATGGGTATCTGAATTGGAAGACAGCGGCTGGCATAGATTCCTTCTCCTTCATCCCCCATGAGGTTGCATTTCCTGATGGCCCTGGTAACAGGTTTGGGCCAAATTTCTAAAAGTGTGAAACTCTTCCTAATTTAATGGGTTAAGATGTTATATAGTACCAGAAGAAAAGGATGCATTCCGAATTTTTGAAAATTGGTATATGTTTAAATGGTTACTATCCATTTTGAACATTATATTGTACTCTCTTCAATAGATCTGAAAATGTTTTTATCAAATTATAGGCTTGGTCTTTCATATATTGTCTATATCATAATTATAATTTATTTAAAGATTGAGTACCAAAAGGGACAGGAATTGGAATTTAATATTTAGGGCACAGGCTGGTAGATAGATCTGAAGAACTGGATGGCCTTATGTGCCAAAGAATACCCTTGGTTCTGACTTCTTTTTTGTGGAAGGGTCCCCCTGCAGGTGCAGCTTGCAATGTGTTTTGGAACTGGCTGCTATGAAAGGTGCAAAGAGAGGGTTCATGATCAGGGCTGTCCATCCCTGGGGGGTTACTAGAGCTGGGCAGGACACCCTGGCCTAAGGTGCTTATACAACCAAAGGCACGCTTCTGGTCTTCAGGCTCTTCACTGTGATGAGTAGGCAAAATCTGGAGAATTTCATTTACAGAAAATTCCATCAGTTGCTCCAGTGGTTTTATCACACTACTATGTTCGAAAAGAAAATCTTTAAATACAGAAAGAGGGAGCCATCTAAATGAACAGCAACTGCGGAAAGGCTGCAGTAACTTTATCAGAAGAGTCTGTTACCATCTCAGAGAATAAGTATATGCACACAGAATTTTTGAATCAGAGACAGAAATTCCTATATTAGTCTGTGCACTGCTAATTTTGTAAACAAAAATAATTGAGGCAGCAAGTGTACTTACTTTGAGGCCAGAGGAAGAGGGCAGTATGAAGGGATAAGAAGAAGATACCAGGTACTGAGGATATTAAGGTAAACTGGTATGCAGCTGCTAGACGATCAATTCTGAAATAAAACTTAGTCTTGTATCCAAACAGGAAGGGCAGAGCATGCTAACTCTAGCGCGAAGGTGGGCCAAGAGCCCTCTCAAAGAGGCAAGCCTACTCTTTCCCTTCCTGCTCTGACATAAAGTGCCTAATAGCAGCTTTCAAGTTCTAGTGGGAGAAATAAAAATAAAGCTGAGCCATTGCACATTACCATACAGATGGGTATTTTCTTACCATATACTTACAAAGTATTTAGAAATAAAACATAACTTCTATATACAGCAGGTTAACACTTGCTAGTTGCACTAAAATATCATAATAATTACCAGCATAAAGTAAAATAAGTATTTATCACCGAAAATGCTGAACCAATATTTTCAAGGGCCATTTCTCTATATACGAAAATGGCAAGACATATTACAAAACCTTATAATAAAATAAGCCGGTGGCTTTAGTGTTTTAAAGCAACCTCCCTCCCCCAATCAGAAAAAACAAAAAAGACAAAAATCAGAATACGAACAGGCTGCATAATTCCCTATCTGACAATAGGAGGAGAAAGTTGAATATCGAAATATATAAAATACAAATGTGTGACATTCAAAACACAATGGGAGGAAGTAGTAAACAAGTGATACGAGGACACAGCATGGTTTATTTTCAACTATTAAATGTATGAACAAAACTAAGAGTAAGAAAATAAGAGACAGATAAATAGTAAAAGGCTATGTCTCTCCAACACAATTGGCCATGACTCTCCAAAACGTACGGTCAACAGAGAGAAAACTGAAGAAAAGTTTGTATAGAGTTAAAAGATGATCTATATTTTAATTTTCTTTTGAGCAGGGTTTACCACTTTCATGTTTTGGGTTTTATTTCTAAAGACTAAATTTGTGCAAATAATATTCCCTGGGGATTAAAAGTACGGGAAGCAAAACCCAACCAAAAGCAGAAACAAAACTTGGTGTTGGGGGAGAAGATGAACATAACATTCACTTTTTCAAATGAGTTTGAACCATAAAGAATGGGCTTTACCTCACTTTGGTCAGATATTTGAAATCAATAAACTGTTATTCTTGCATATTGTTTGTGTTAAAAAAAAAAGGTAAACAATAGTGAAAGCTGTTCTTATCAGGGAAAAAAACCAAACAATAACAAAAAACCAGAATAGAAGCCCAGAATCCTGTTTGGAGGGATGGTTGTCACCAATGCCAAAAGCCTCACTTATCAAATGCTTCTCTCATTTGACAACTTTTGAATGATTCACAGAATGTTAAGACAATTAGAGCATGAAGCTTGGATCTGAATAGTAAAGAAGGATGAAGTCGGAGTGGTATTTACAAAGGAGAGGCAGACATATGTGCATAGCACCAGAGTTTTCCAGTAAGAAAGTTCAGCCCCAAACTAAACTAAAATTTTACATTTTTAAACTTTCCCCATTATTTCCCAGAGTAGAAAGCTGTGAAACGTTTCAGCTTAGTGCTAGTCACTAATGGTGTGAATTCAAAAGGTGGTCTTTCTGCAGCGGAACTGACTGTGTCTCAGGACTTCGAGCGAGCTCCAGTCCAAGTGTCCTGGACCCCACTGGCTCTGTGCACTTAATTTGCGACAATCTATTGTTTTCTTCTTTGAAAGTGGCTAGAGAATTCCTTCACAAACAACGTGTGCAAACATACACACACACATACTGAAAATCTACAAATAATTCTAACAGCCAAACGATACTTTTTATAAGAAATTACCCAAAGAAAGTGATATTAGAAATAACGGGACAAAAAATATTTTTTAGAGTCTATTTAATATCCGTGGTGCTTAAACATTCAATTTATTGTCTGACTTCTGGATATTTCTGGATTTTAGATTCCATAAACTTCAGATTCTGAAGGCTTATTGAAAAAGCAAGCTCCTCAATATGGGAAATTCTACCTGGCTGTATTTTTAGAGAGTTAATATTTTTCTACTTTTGAAAAAATATTTTGAATATTTATATATATAATATTAACAGAATACTCCCCAGTAGGTCATATTCCAGATAAATATAGTACAATTTGCATCATACCCAATATTTTAGATATTAAAATAAGGGTAAAATTTGGAACAGAGTAAACTGTTTGACATACTTCCCAATACAAGTGTGCATGTAGAATATTAAAATTTAAATTGCTATTTGGCTTTGTAAGCTCTTTGCCCTGTGTACCGTACGTATTTATGACCAACAGAGAACATTTGGGATCATGGCATGTTGAGCCTGATTTTGCAGAAGCAGACCTGGACCCTCTCTGGTTCTCCCTCCACAAGGCTCAGCGAGGCAGTGTGAGCGGTGCACTCTGCCAGGACTCGCTGCCGTCAGGCTCGGGAGCGCGGACATGCAGTCCTAGGACAACACTGACACTGGCACTGACATGTGAATCATTCTCCCAAGTAATAAAAAAAATAGAGAGAGATATACACATAGAGATCTGCAGCTGTACTATTACTTCAAAGAGCAGCAGACAAGGAAAATAAGCACTTAATTGCTTGCTTCATAAGTTTAAGTTCATTTTAAGTTTGCTATATTAAGTTTAAAAATTAAAAAAATATCAACTTACTATAAACAATTTAAAATATGTATAATACAACTTCATGGTCAAAACATTTGAACAGTCTATGAAAACAGGAGATGCTTTGATCTCATATTTGTTTACGTTCCATACATGATTTTTCAATCTGTCTCTTCCAAGAGAAACCATAAAACAGTTGTCTTATTTTATGAGAGCTTATTTTGTTTAGGGATTTCCTCATTTCAAAAATATTTAATTACTTGTTACAGGAGAAGAAAAGAAAAAGAAAACAAATGGGAAACAAAGGGGTTCTCTCCCCTGTTGTCACTATTCTCTTCTTAAAACCTTCTGTACATAAACTAGCTGGGCTTTCTGAACCATTTACAAATGCACTTTCAAAAATCGAAGAAAAAAGTTTAGAATCTACAAGCGTTATTTTATACACTGACTATACAATACATATTCAAAGTATACACACACACATCTTAAAGATAAGGTTCTCCAAAGGTTTTCCGACATTCCATCACCCCCGTACTTGGTGGTCTATCACAGTTGTGTGTACTCTTGACTTGACTAGGGGTGAGACGATCGTATGCCATCTTGTATTCTTTATCAAATGCATCTGCGAAAATTCACAAATAAATAAAGGCATAAAGAAATTTATATTTGATGTTAACAATAATCAAGTTTTGGTAAGACTACAGAACTGCAAAATTAGAGGCCAAGAAGGAATTCCTAGGTTACTTCTGCCAACTAAAGGACCACAATTTCAGAGCTGGAAAGGAGACCTTATAATCCATGGCATGCTAGAGTTAGATTACACAGATCAGTGAAATTTCAAGTTTTAAGATGCCAACTTTTAAAAATACTTTTTCTCCCAAATTTTTAAGTTGTGGTGAAATATATGTAACTAAAATTTACCATCTTAACCATTTTTAACTATACAGTTCAGTGGTATTACATACATTCATGTTGTCAGCCATCACCACCATCCACCTCCATAACTCTTTTCATCTTGTAAAACTGAAACTGTATACCAATTAAACAGTAACTCCCCATTCTTCCCTCCTCCCAGCCTCTGGCAACTACCATTCTACTTCAGTCTCTGTGACTCTGACCACTCCAAGTACCTTATAAGTGGAATCATACAGTTATTTGTCTTTTTGTGACTGGCTTATTTCACTTAACATAATGTCCTCATGGTTCATCTGTGTTGTAGCCTATGTCAGAATTTCCTTCCTTTTTAAGGCTGAATAATATTTCATTGTACATATATACCACATTTTTCTTTTTCACTCATCCTTCATTGGACACTTGGGTTGCTTCCATGTTTTAGATATTGTGAATGATGCCGCTATGAACATGGGCATACAAATACCTCTTCAAGGCCCTGCTGTCAGTTCTTTTGGGTATATACCCAGAAGTGGGATTGCTGGATCATACGGAGATTCTATTTTTAATTTTTTTTTTTAAGATTTTATTTTTCCTTTTTCTCCCAATGCTCCCGGGTACATAGTTGTGTATTTCTAGTTGTGGGTCCTTCTAGTTGTGGCATGTGGGATGCCCCCTCAGCACGGCCTGACGAGCGGTGCCATGTCCGCGCCCAGGATCTGAACTGGGGAAACCCTGGGCCGCCGAAGCGGAGTGCGTGAACTTAACCACTCGGCCATAGGGCTGGCCTCTATTTTTAATTTTTGAGGGAACTGCCATACTGTTTCCACAGCAGCTGTACCATTTTACATTCCCACTAACAGTGCACAAGCGTTCTAATTTCTCCATATCCTTGCCAACACTTGTTATTTTCCGGGTTTTTTTGATAGTTACCATCCTAATAGTGTGAGGTGGTATCCCATTGTAGTTCTGATTTGCATTTCCCTAATAATTAGTGATGTTGAGCATCTTCCATGTGCTTATTGGCCATTTGCATATCTTCTTTGGAAAAATGTCTGTTCAAGTCCTTTACCCATTTTGAATTGGCTTCATTTTTTGTTGTTGAGTTTTAGGAGTTCTCTATATATTCTGGATATGAATCTCTTATCAGATATATGATTTGTAAATATTTTCTCCCATTCTGTGGGTTGCTGTTGATATCACCTTTTGATGCACAAAAATTTATAATTTTTATTAAGTTCAATTTGTTTTTTTTCTCTGTTGTCTGAGCCTTTACTGTCATATCCAAGAAAACACGGCCAAATCTGATGTCATATAGCTTTTGTCCCATGTTTTCTTCTTAGAGTTTTAGGTCTCACACTTAGGTCTTCAATCTGTTTTGTTTTTTTTGAGGAAGATTAGCCCTGAGCTAACATCCACTGCCAACCCTCCTCTTTTTGCTGAGGAAGATTGGCCCTGAGCTAACTTCCATGACCATCTTCCTCTACTTTATATGTGGGATGCCTGCCACAGCATGGCTTGCCAAGCAGGGTGTAGGTCTGCGCCTGGGATCTGAACTGGTGATCCTTGGGCCGCCGAAGCAGAGCGCACAAACGTAACTGCTACCCCACTGGGCTGGCCCCTTTGTTGTCTTTTTTGGTTCTCAATTCTTCCATACTGCCTTCTTTTGAGTTACCTAGATATTACTTCTCTAGATTAATAGATTAAATAGATTTTTAGATCTATTTAATAGATTAGATTAATAGATTAAACTAGATTTTAATTCTTTTACCACATATTTTTGATTCCTGGCTATTCTCACATGATTATTTTTCCAGTTGAACATTAGAATCATTTGTCAAGTTTCTTATTTTTAATAGTCTCCAGTGTTTCACAACCATGAAGCTAAAAAAACAAATACTGACAACATTCTGCTCAAAGCCTCCTGCTTGCAATTAGAACCCATCTATTCTTTTCCTCTTTTCAATGGAAAGGGCAGCTCAAGACACTCATAAATATTTGTTTACAAACAAAATTATAGGTTAAACACAGTTACATTTCCTTTAGCCTTCTCCAACAAATATTCTTTAATTCTAAAT